CCTTATTTTGCTTTGTGTTCCTACATCAGTGCATTAGCTTTACTCTTTCCTTGTGAATTACAGATCTTGTTGTGCAGAGGCTACAAAAGAGTTCCATTAAGTAGTGACACTATATTGAAGTAATTTGCATCTATTATCTGCTTCCAGATAATAGTTGATGAAGCCCTATAAGAGTGGTATTGCATGTCCATTGTTCAGTGTGTCACATCAGGTGTCTCCCTCCATCCTGGAAACAGGTAATGAATGCCTGCAGGGGGTAGGGCTTAGGACACATGCTTCAAGTTTGCATCTCCTTATTGGCTAGCTTGGGTGGGGAACTCCCTAACATGCTGGCTTTTGTGAATCTCGGGCTTTTCTTGCCCCATTTATTATATCGGGAGCCAAAGTACTGAACTTTGCCAGTGATTTTATAGATGGCTGAAAGTGAGACATGGCAAAGTTCAGTATTGTCACACCTACATTCCTTCGTGGATCTAGCCCTTTGTTATTTGACTAGTAGGCTGGTACTAATGGTAACATCTCCGGGTGGCACTTAAATGCCCTGGTAGAGACGACAGAGATCCCTTGCTCTGATTAATTGAAGATTTCTAGTCTTCCAAGGATGGCAAATCCTTAGCCAATAGAGGCATTTCAGCAGGCAAAGCTTGCAATAGTGTGAGAATTCACTTCTCTGGTCTCAAGCACAATGGTAGTTCTTGGGCATTATTTTTAATTGAAAATAAAATGATAACCCTGGTTGACGAGACCTGCTAGTAATAAGACAACACGCTGTCTGTGAAAGACCAAAATACTGACAAAGTAGAACGTATCTCCTTTTTTAAAGTGGTCTTATTGGAAGGGCACATGCCACTAAAAATGAATTCCTATCCACTACAAATATTTGGAAAAATGCTGTGGAAATGGAAAGAAAGAGGGAGATTGCATCTATTGTAGATACTTGGCTGGCTCTGAAGTGCTGTGTAGTAGAAGTATATCACTTTAGAAAGATATTTTTTAAATCTATGGGTTAGCTGCTCCCATGGATTACCCCAGATTTGCGGGGGCAAATTCAGATTGATTGTAGGTGAGTTCTGAATACAGCTCTTTTACCTCTGTCCTTCTGAAATGGCTTGGAAACACCAAGAGTTTTCTGATTCCCACATAATTACCAGTGAGATTTTTTTTCAAGTTACACAACCGTATGTTTTCTGTCTTTCATAAGCATCAGAGATTTCAAAACGTATCAGGGGCAGGCGTAGCATTAAGTGATGGCACAGAAACCTGCAAAACAGGGTACTTGGTAGGGTGAGAAGTAATGTATTAGAGTCCAGCCATTCTTAATCTGAAAGGGAATCAAGTGAACTTTGCTCTGCTATGTGAGGCATGGGTAAATAAAGTGAGGAAGGCGAAATGCAAGCAGACAGAAAGGAATTAAGGTTTGTGTACATGGGTCAGCAGAGAGATGTGATTTGTAAAGTGCAACTAACATGCTCTGCTCTAACTACCCTGGGTAGATCCATCTAAAAGATGCCCAGTTTCCAACAGGACTACATTAACATGAAATAGGTACCCTTTAGAGTATGCCAACAGGGACTACAAAGGGGCATAGCCTGTTAGTGCACTTCACAAATCACTCCCCTCCGGCATGATTTGTCGCACCCTGTTGACAAGCATTTATTGGCAGCTTTCTAGGTCTACAAGCCTCACTGTGTTCATATGTTTTAAAGGGGGTTTCATAGGTCCATACTTGTCTAATGCCTGTAGTGTAATGTTTTTTGGAGACTATAGTCATGGCAAAGAATAGTGTGACATTATTGAAGGAGGGCCAGATTCTCAGCTAATGGAAATCAGCATAACTCCATGACTTCAGAGGAAGTAGGTTGATTTACACCAGCTGAGGATCTGGTCCCAGTTTTTAAGCTTTTGTGTGTCATGTTTGTAAGTACGTGATATAAACTGGGGGTAAATTCAACTGCTTTATAGAAGCCACTACTGTTGTATTGGGAGAAAAAAATTAAGACTACAAGGGTTGCTCTTTGCCCTCTGCATATGTAGTTGAATTGGGGACATCTGCATCTGGCATTTGGGTTGGGAACAGTATCCAAGAATATAGAGGATTCTGGATGAGAGAGAGCAGGGGACCTGCAGTTTTAGGTAATGCTGCAAAATCTTTGCCCCCCCACCCCCATCAGAATCTCCTGCCACTGCCCAAGTGGCCAGAGATGTCTTTGAAGATACTTGCCTGCCTTTTGTGTGTTTTACATTCCTCCCTTATCCCAGCTCCCATTGTGACCCTTGGAACAAAAAGGCATAAAAGAATGGGGAAGATTCTATTCCTGGTTAATGTCCAACTTAATTACTTGGCATCACAACTCTATTGATTTCAAGTAATGTTTGGCTAAGAGCCCTTCGTGGCATGTAGTTGTTTGAAGAGAGCTTGTTTGACCAGCATGAATGGGATTCCAAGGCATTTAAAGTATAAGGCTGCCCAGTGGATTGCCAGATTTTCTTCTCCACCACAGAGTATGTGATCTCTCTGGGTAGGAGCTCTCTAGTTGGGTGACTACTTGGGCTCTCTCAGGTGTATCTATCTATAAAACAATCTCTCACTCAAAATGTGTAAGATGGGTAGACGAGATGGGGTCCCTTTAATTTCCTCAGGTGTCTACTCTCGTTGAAGCTATGGTAGACTTGTTGGAGGGCCCAATTCTTTATTAAGCTAGCGAAGGATGTTGTGAGGGAGGCAAATGAGAAACAAGTTGCCACTAAGACCCCATCCCACTGAGGAAAGCGTGTCCTTGGTAATTTGTCCTCTAGCTTGGAGCTTTAGCCAATGCGTTCTTTACCAATGGCTGAATGTTCCTGTTTCCTGCTAAATCATTTCTCCAAGGTTTTTTCTCTTTCCAATTCTTGCAGTTTGTGGTCAGGCCAACTTGGAGATGGGTCACCCTTTGAGGGACCCAGGCTAGTATGAGGCAGAAGGGTTGCAGCACTGAGGAAGAGAACTGGAGATGTGAAAAGCTGCATGACATTGGAGCTGAACTACCACCCCTACACAAGCCTTAAATATAATCCCACAGCCATGGGTGAGAGAGAGGATGGCTCTTTCAAGTTGCTAGCCTTGTATCCCTGCTCTGGGATATAAGGTGATGATAATAATAGAAGTATGTTTTCTCTTAGATTCGCTGTGCACATTGTGTAGCTCACAAGATGCCTAGCCTTAGTTAGTGGCAGGCTTTATCAAAGTCGGGACATGGCACAGAGTTCTCAGTTGGTGTTGGGGGAAGGATAGCTCAGTGGTTTGAGCATTGGCCTGCTAAATCCAGGGTTGTGAGTTCAATGCTTGTGGAGGCCATTTAGGGATTTGGGGCAAAAATTCATCAGGGATGGTACTTGGTCTTGCTGTGAAGGCAGAGGACTGGACTCGATGACCTTTCAAGGTCCCTTTCAGTTCTAGGAGATAGGCAATCTCCATTATAAAAAAAAAAAAAAGCCTGACCTTCATGGTGGGAGGTCAAATTCCATCCTTTAATTTTCACACAGGTAATCACAATGTGCAGCTGACTCACTTCTGTGACCAAGGTGGAATGGATGGTACCATGGAACAATAGCTTTGATCATCATAAGAAAGCTACAAAAATTATTCTGTTTGATTACGGTTGAGAATTACAATGCAGTTAATGAACCAGTTCTGGATTAGACAATACTAGGATGAGGAACAAAGAAACCCATCTCGAAGTCTTATACAATAAATACGTTATATACACTGAAAAATACAGAACACTTTGCAACATTTAAACCTGACAGAGAGAGAATGTTTTATTTATCTTCAGTTCAGTACACATTTTTGAAGCTCGATCATTTTTCTTAATTTCCGTACTTTAAGCAGCACAGATAGATTAGACAGATATTGATAAGATCCATACTTCAGACCATGCTGCCATATCAGTGCTGATTAGTATTGATTGAGTCTGTCAAACTTTCATTTTGGACACTTAGTAATTCAGGGTATGTCTACACTACCCCGCTAGTTCGAACTAGCGGGGTAGTGTAGACATACCCTTAGAGACTAGCAAAAAATGTAGATAGTATCATGACCTTCTTCGATCAATGATGCAACAGTCAAAGCAGAAGTGAAATATGAGGAGTAACGTAAGTTCGAACTAGGAAGCCTAGTTCGAACTACCTGGTTCGTGCCCCGTGTAGCTGCGCTGCACGGGGTTCGAACCAGTGGGGTTTTAAAAATGGCGGCTCAATGAATTCTAGCTAGATCCATATCCATATATACTTAATATACACACTCGAGCACTGAGGAATTTGTCTCTACCTCACATTTTGCGTCACAGGTCACTTAGGGTATGTCTACACTACCCTCCTAGTTCGAACTAGGAGGGTAGTGTAGACATACCCTAAGTGACCTGTGACGCAAAATGTGAGGTAGAGACAAATTCCTCAGTGCTCGAGTGTGTATATTAAGTATATATGGATATGGATCTAGCTAGAATTCATTTTCTCTCTTAGAAGTAAAAATTACAAAATTTAAATAAATAAAATCTAGTATCAGATGATGATTTTTTTTCAGCTAATTTTTTTTAAAGCAAATCTCTGCATTTACTTGGTGCCTACAAAGCTATTAAGCTGTGTCCAGTGGAAGTATCTTTTTTATATATAGGAACAAAATGTTTTGGTATGAATTTTACTACACGAACACAAATAACCACACTGGAGTTTGACATTGACAGATTCTACAATCTCAGTTTTGTAAGATAACTTGAGGTATAAGCCCCAGTTGCCCCCATTGCTGTTACTGCTTGTCTTACTCTTAAAACCTATAACAATGACTACAATATTCCTCCTTACATTTAGGACGTGTTGGCTAAATACTGTGATGAGACACCTGTGCTAATCCACACTATCTAGGAAGAGGTTACATCTAAAAACCCGAGGTCTTGAAATAAATTATTTGGGTTTTAAGGCCAATAGAAATGTTTTAATCACACCTTCTGATTTTGTATTTTCAGAAAAACGGCATCTCAAATGGAGGTTTCTACAAAAGGCCGTTTCATGAACACTTTGAACAAGCTCCAATGTATGTCGCTGTTTTGACTTACATGGGTTTTGGAGTTGGAACACTATTTGGCTACCTGCGAGATTTTATGCGAGCCTGCGGGCTAGAAAAATGTAACCTTGCTGCAGAAAGAGAAGAACAAAAAGTATGTATTAAAAAAACGTTAGTGGCATGGAATCCTTTTTCGCTACTGAACTGTCATTGCACGAGCTGCTTCATATGGTGGTGAAGGGAATTTACATCCTCTCCTTGGAGGCTCTTGGGAAGTCAGCTCCATATTAAAGGAGATTGTAGTGGGAATCTGGCTTCCTAAGCTGCTAGAGCAATGTTTCTTAAACTGTGTTCCGTGGCAGTCAGAGGTGTTTCGCGGAGAAAAGCAGAACTCAAAATGGCTGCTCTTAAAGGGGCAGGTGACATTTTTTTTCTCAATAACTATTCTCCCAAACTTTTTTTTCCCCCCCAAAAAAATCCTTGGGGTTCCTCATAAAAATATATTGTTTGGTGTTCCTCAGTCTTAAAAAGTTTAAGAAACACTGTGCTAGAGGATAGTCAAGCTGCTACAATGAAGTTATTGGAATGGGGAGGAAAGTTAACTCAAGCAGATTCTGTAGTAAGAATTCCTCTTTTATGCCTGTGCTAGCTGATCTGTGTATTGGAGATGCTGTCTCCAGGAGGGGGGGTTTCCTCTTCTATCTGTCCAAAAAGAAAACTTCATTAGTAACAACCTCTAATAGTAAAAGGAGACAGATATGGCAAATATCAGAATCAAAAGCTTTATATTTGCTTCGATGCTAAAATATGTGTTGAAAGAACAAAGCTCAGACATGTTGTATTATTTACCTTAGTAATAAACATTTTTAATTTAAGAATATGTATTTTTTTAAAAATCCTTAGCTATTTTCAGATAGTGATCTGTTTTCTTTCTATATACACAAGAGATGGTAAATATAGCTGAAGTTCATACATAGGTAGCAATCTAGCACAAAATAATTTGTGATATCAAAATATAAAACCCGGGTGTATAACAATTGTTGAAAATTGTAGCACTATTCCTGTATAACGTGGGAGTTATTCTCACCCTAATTCCGTTATACTAACCCATGTATAAATGATAGCCCCAAAGAACTTTGGGGAATACATTGGAGTTCTGTTAATACAAAGCATACAGTAATGAGAATATTATTATACTATTCTCTTTTAAAACTGTTGCAATTGTCATGCTGCCCTCCCCTTCTCCACAGGTACTATTTTGGCAGATTACAGTCCTAGGGTGTGTTTTTGCCAAGCGGATCATAAATTAGTCCAATTCTTCTGCTCCAGCTACAAAACCCACGAAACCATAAAAGCTTGCCTTAGATGCATGCTTCCATCTCCTCTGGCAGGACTGCTTTAAACTGACTCTACTAGTATTGATTATCATCAGTCTGCCTGACACAGATCCGGACACTTTAAACCAGACCTGTCAAAGGAAGCGGAAGCATGAATGATCCCAAGCAACCACAGATAATCAATCCATGCTTGATCCCCGAGGTCATTACTTCTAACAATCTGTGCAGATTTCAAACATGCTTATCACCTGATGAAGTGTTAGTCTCTAAGGGTATGTCTACACTACCACCCTAGTTCAAATCCCGGGCTTCATTTGCAAGTGCAGTATGCCTACATTACCCCGCTAGTTCGAACTAGCGGGGTAGTGTAGACATACCCTCCCTAAGGGTGCAACCAAACTGCACTCTTAGCTCGAAATAAGCTATACAATTTGTGCTATGCAAATTGTGTATCTTATTTTGAGTTCATTTCAAAATAGCTTATTTCATAATTTAATTTTGAAATAAATGCTATTCTGAAATGTCCCTTAATCCTCGTGGAATGCGGTTTACAGGGACATTGGAATAGTAAGACCATTATTTTGAAAGCTATTTCAACATAATGGGCTTGTTGTCAAGACGTGAAATAGCTATTTTGTGATACCAGATGTGTCCCGAAATAGCGCCACAGTGTAATCATACCCTAAGGTGCCACAGGACTACTCATTTTTAAAGTTACAGACTAACCCAGCTTCCCTTCTGAGACTTTCAAACACATGGCATATATAGCACAAATACTTTCCCTCTTCACCTGTCCACACCCCAAAAACACATTGGCCGGAGGGCTTTGGCTGACCATATTCATTTTTGGATTGGTGGCAGGTTTACTACTCAAAGCCTTGTGAATGGTCAGAGCGAGAAATAAGTGAGAGATCCATATGTTCCAATGAGACATGAAAGAACTGCTTAGGTTACGGACTCCTCACGTCATGGCATTGTGATACACAAAAAGACCACTGTATATTGTTTGAATGGATTCTAAAATTTGAGTTGTTGATCATTTCCTTCTCCTTCTGAGCCCTCTGTAGTATGATTCAAATGACTAGGAGCTACAAGGGGAGAGACACAAAAAAGTAAAACTCTGTTTAAAAAAAAATCTGGAAGATGGTTTCTGTTCTTAAAATGGGGGGTGGGTTATTTGAAAATGGAGAGGTTGTTTTATGGGGGTGGTTAAAGCAGCATAAGCTACGTAATGAAGTAGCATGATAGAAAGGCTTTAGTATCACACTTTTGATATAGTCTCTGTGATTTGGCCATTTGTAAATACTGAGGATTCAAAACATTCCAATAAAAACTTTTTACTACACCATTATGTATTCTGTTAATTCCCATATTCCATATGCATATTTATTTGCTGATTAGTCTAACAGTGGTGCAGTATGTATATAATCCGTGGTTAATTATTTGTCCACCAAAGTAAATGCCCTACAAGAAGAAGGCATGTATAAACTGAGGTGAGAACTTCTATTCTGTGCTAAAATATCCAACTGTAGGTGTTCCAGTTTAATCTAATCAATCCATTTTCTTATGGGTTACTATGGGGAGGATAACCACACCTTTACTAGCAGCTCTGCATTTATAATGAAACTGTTTTCAAAATAACTTTCACAGTGTGCATCTCACATGATGGCTCCTCCTTTTATGAACTTTCAGAATATTGGACCCTTTCATGAGTCTCCTGCTACTTGCCAGGCAGATAAAAATGGGCCATATGTTGGAATGTGGGTAACTAAGCAAATCTGCAAATGTGGGAGTTTATATGGCAACAGAGCACTAGGCTTGCAGTACCACAAGTTTCCGAATGAATTTGTCTGTCTTTTTAAGTTAAATACGGTACTGAGATGGTAACTTTCCTACAAATGTAACCCTGTCCGTGTTTTTAAACCAGGATTTTGTGCCACTTTATCAAGATTTTGAGAACTTTTATACAAGAAACCTCTACATGAGAATACGAGATAATTGGAACCGCCCAATTTGCAGTGTCCCAGGGCCACAGTTTGACCTCATGGAACGTATTACAGATGATTTCAACTGGACATTTAGGTGGGTCAGGCAAGCAACAGTTTTTAACAGGGAAGTAAAATACTATAATGGGGAAAGTACGGAGAAGGTAATTTCCCCACGTTGAAATATGGCAATAGAACAAAACTTGATGGGTAAATATTTATTTGTTCATTTTTGCACTACTCCCTTCTCTAAAAAGTCTGCTTTCATTGTAGGTTTACTGGTTTTACAAAAATATCTTTTGATCCATCTGGTTGAAGGATAGAGCACTGTGCTTCTAAAACAGTTGTGGGCAACAAAATGGAAGCTAGGTTCACTGGAGCTAGCCCTGGTGGGCCTTTGCTGTTATATTTACATGGGCCTCTACAGGTATAGGTGATCGCAGCTCTCATTGGTTGGGAACAGCAATCCACAGCCAATGGCAGTAGTGATCCCCTGTCCCTTTGGAGGTGCAAGTAAATGCAACAGTGTGGAGGCCCGCTAAAGGCTAACCCTGGCAGGCAATCCACAGCCAATGGGAGTAGTGATCCCCTGTCCCTTTGGAGGTGCAAGTAAATGCAACAGTGTGGAGGCCCACTAAAGGCTAACCCTGGCAGACCAGATCCGGCCCATTTGGGCTGGTATTTGCCCTTTTTCTAAACGCTGTCTTGCCAGGCAGTTGGGAAGAAGGTCAAATTATGTTGCAAATAGGCTTTTTTTTTTAATTGCTTTAACCCAAGTAAAAACCTAAAAGATAGAGGTTTGAAAGCATTTAGACTCCGTTTGGACTCATCCACACTGCTCAGCCAAACTCTCTTATAACCCATTTTGACTTAAATCTTTCTTAAGCACAGTTGTAAACTGATTGCTTGTGTTGTGTAGCCGAGACTTCTCATTGGCAGGCAAAGATCTCTGCCACTTCTTTGATATTGAGTTTCAGGCTTAGAAGGTAAAGTTTTATATACACTCAACTGCATTTTATTGAAATTGAGTTAGTATATACCGGTGTTTCTTAAACTTTTTAAGACCAAGGAACACCAAACAAAAACATTTTTTTATGAGGAACACCAAGGTTATTTTTTGTTGAGCCAAAAAAAACCCCAAAAAACAAAAAAAAGAGTTGGGGGGAAAGTTATTGAACAAAAAAAAAAAATTTGCCTACCCCTTTAAACATCATGTGCTCCATCCCCCTATCCATTTTGGTTACCCTCTGCTGGACCCTCTCCAATGCATCCACATCCTTTCTGTGGGTGTGTGTTGGGGGAAAGCACTGGATGCAGTACTCCAGATGTGGCCTCACAGAAAGCCTATATACATTTTCACTACAATGAATTTCTATCAGAGGGGTAGCTATGTTAGTCTGTATCCACAAACTCCTATGTCACCTTAAAAGACTAACAGATTTATTTGAGCATAAGCTTTCGAGGGCAAAAATAATCCACTGTAATCCAGGTCCTTTTCTGCTGAACTACTGTCGGTCCCCTGCCTGTAGTGCTTGGGAGCCTTCCGTCCCAAGTGCAGGACTCTGCACTTGTCCTTGTTAAACCTCATCAGATTTCTTTTGGCCCAATCCTCCAATTTGTGTAGGCCACTCTGGACCCTATACCTCTCCTCCAGCTTAATGACATCTGCAGACTTGCTGGTGGTGCAATCCATCCCCTCATCCAGGTCATTAATAAAGGCAGGCCTGCACAATATATGGCCCATGGGCTGCATGTGGCCCAGAGGGGCTCACTGTATGGCCCGTGACGACTACGCATGTCCATTTGTGTACCATTTAGAATCATAGAATCACAGAGCTGGAAGAGACCTCAGGAGGTTATCAAGTCCAGCCCCCTGCCCAAGGCAGGACCAATCCCAACTAAATCAACCCAGCCAGGGCTTTGTCAAGCCAAGACTTAAAAACCTCTAGGGATAGAGATTCCACCCCCTCCGTAGGTAACCCATTCCAGTGCTTTATCACCCTTCTAGTGAAATAGTTTTTCCTAATATCCAACCTAGACCTCCCTTTCTATAGTGAGGGGCCCAGAACTGGACACAATATGCCAGATGTGGCCTCCCCAGAGCTGAATAAAGAGAAATAATCACTTCTCTGAATCTGCTGGCAATGTTCCTCCTAATGCAACCTAATATGCCATTAGCCTTCTTGGCGACAAGGGCACACTGTTGACTCATATCCAGCTTCTCATCCACTGTAATCCCCAGGTCCTTTTCTGCTGAACTGTTACTTAGCCAGTCATCCCCAGCCTGTAACAATGCTTGGGATTCTTCCGACCCAAGTGCAGTACTCTGTACTTGTTGTTGTTGAACCTCATCAGATTTTTTGACCCAATCCTTTAATCTGTCTAGGTCACTGTGGACCCTATCCCTACCCTCCAACATATCTACCTCTCCCCCTAGTTTAGTGTCATCCGCAAACTTGCTAAGGGTGCAATCTATCCCCTCATCCAGGTCATTAATAAAGATATAGAACAAAACCAGCCCTAGAACCAGTTCTTGGGGCACTCCACTTGAAACTGACTGCAAACCAGACATCGAGCTGTTGAGCACTACCTGTTGGGTCCAACAATCTAGCCAGGTTTCTGTCCACCTTACAGTCCATTTAACCAATCCATACTTCCTTCACTTGCTGGCAAGAATATTGTGGGAGATCGTATCAAAAGCTTTGCTAAAGTTAAGGTATATCACATCCACTGACTTCCCCATATCCACAGAGCCAGTTACCTCAGCATAGAAGCTAATCAGATTGGTCAGACATGATTTGCCCTAGTTGAATCCATTCTGACTATTCCTGATCACTTTCCCCTCTTCCAAGTGCTTCAAAATGGATTCCTTGAGGATCTCTTCCATGATTTTTCCAGGGACTGAGGTAAGTCTGACTGGTCTGTAGTTCCCTGGATTGTCCTTCTTCCCCTTTTTAAAAAGATGGGCACTAGATTTGCCTTTTTTCCAGTCATCGGAGACCTCTCCTGATCTCCACAAGTTTTCAAAGATAATGGCATACACTCTATAACAAGAAGGACCTGGCTGCAGGTAGGCTAGAGAAGGTACCCGAGACAGAGCAGGGCTGGGGAAGGGCAGGCGGAACTGGGGTATTGGCCAGGGAAACTCCTAGGCTGATGCCTTGCTCTCAAGGCCTTAAGGAATGAAGGGAGGCAGCCAGGGGAGGGAGGCAGCAGGTAAGACACCCCTGGCCAAGGATAAGTGGCTGTTTCAGACTGCAGTTTGCCCCAAGGCAGGGGCTGGATGATGACTGGCAATGGGTCACTGAGGCAAGGTGTTTCTAGGGGCTTGGGGTTCCCTGGGAGGGGAGAACCCCAGCATGCAGGGCACTGCTGTAGGGAGGTACTATTAGGAAGGGGAACTGTGGATGGGAGGGACAGGGGCTGAACCTGCAGAAGACAGGTAATTGAGGATGAAATACTGGCCAGCACAGGGTGCTCTGAGGCTGAAGAGCTAATTCCCAATGTGACCAGCAAGAGGCACTGTGATGATTTGTTGCATACAGGATGAGGAGAAATGCCAAGTCCATGTTGCGGATCGTCTGGATGTCATAGGCCTGGAGAGAGGGGATGAAGAGCAAGAAGTGTCCATCTAGTTTGGGAGAGGGGGAAGGCGGGGGAGAATGTTAGAACCATAGAGGTAGGCCCCCTTCCTTTGTGCAGGAAAAGGAGCTATAGATAAAGTGAAGGGGCCTATATGTGTATGCTTCTCTGTGGCCGCAACACCCTCCCATCCTGTTGTGGTACACAGAGGGCTCAGGGTGGGGTGGAATGGAGCATTGGGTGGGATGGAGTGGTTAGGAGTGGCCCAGTAGAACAGAGTGAAGTCCAGAAGCTGAAATCAGCACATGATGGTCCTTCCTGACCTTCAGGTCTATGAATTTGAGTCTACAGGGTGGAAGGAGTGGATCTGCCTACAGCCTGGCCCTAGCCCGGTGGCTCAGATCACTCTACACTGAGAGAAGAGGGAACATTACCTTTTGCCACACTTTATTTTAAAGTTTCATTTCCAGCCCCCTTTTTATTAACTTGTAGTCACCTGCCATGGCAGTGAGCCGCACGCGTGATTAATGGTCCCTGAAATATTATCGAGTTTGAAAGGCTGCTTGTTTGAAATTTATACTGAATGTGGTTAGATAGGATTTTTCCAGCCCGGCATTCATTTCACAGCATAATTGTGAGGAGTAGATAATAAGGGCTCAGGCAAGAGGTGAGCAAAATGAGAGCAGTGCTCGGAGGCAGCAAGCAATAACTAAGACCAATCAATATCAGATCAGAGCAATATCCCCCTAAACAGCTTCCTACACAATGGCAAGTCAGGCTTGGAACAATGTCTGCTGCCCTCCACCCTGCACCCATTTGCGGTAATACCGTTCCCTCCAAACACCACTGCAAATCCTGCTTGAAACGACTGCCCTGGCTTTGCAGACTCTGCAACTACAAGGAGTTTTGCTCGTGGCAAGAGCCTCTGTAACAAGATGCCTCTTAAGCTAATATGCTCCCCCTTGGGGAAGAACACCCCTTGCTGCAGCAGATGAAGTGGTTGGGGAGAGATGGGTGACTCACAGGCGAGGGTGGTGAATCTTGAGCTTTGTCTGTGCTGCCTCCCTGTCCCCTGCTCCTAGGAAGCTCAGTCCAGTAGCACTAGTGGTGCTGGAGCATTTCTTCCAGTGGAGGTGCTGGAAGCCAATGTTCCTCACCCCCCTTAACTCTGTCCATCCCTCTCTACCTGTCAGAGCAGGGCTGTGGCTCCGGGCAGAAGGTTGGAAACGCAGACAGGGTTAAGGAGCCCAAGGCTGGGACCCTGTGTGCGGGGGCAGGAGCAAAGCTAGTGGTGTCAACTCCAGGTGCAGGGCTGTGAACAGAACCCTGGGCATGGGGCTGGAGGCAGGCAGGGCCCCATGGCCTGGAGCAAAGCCCTGGCCACAAGTCCAGTGGCAGCTGGAGCCCCATATACGGGGCTGGGAGCAGAGTCCCAAGAAGAGGTCTGGTAGCTGGAATAGCAGGTGCAGGGCCAGGAGTGGAGCCCTGGGCACTAGGAAGGCAGTGCCAGGACCCTGAGCACAGTGTGGCATGTGGGACCTTCACAGAAACTGGGGCTGCTGCAGCACCCTCCACACCCCTGGCTCCCGCGCCTCTGAGTAGCACTAACTTCCATCCAGGAAATGCTGGTGCTGAGCTGAGTAGCTTCCCAATCACTCAAACAACGTATGAAGCCACATGCACCGCTCCAAGGGATCAGCCGCATGACAGATTTTTGCACCAATGTAACTTCACCTCGTGTAAGTGCATCGAACATGTTTAAAGCTGGGTTTGCAGCACCATGGCTTTCACAGGTGCCAGTGTGTGTCGAGCTGGTGAAATGTTTTGGCCGGAAGATGTTTTGGATAAGAGATGAGATTTTGTCAAAATTAAAAGCTTCCTGTGAAAAATTTTTGGAGGAAATTTTCCCCCAGGGAAAATAAAAACCCAAATATTTTTGTTTGGGCTGAAAATGTGGAACATGTGAATTTTGACATTTCTGAATCTGCATTTTATGGTACATCTCAGTCTGTGACTGTTTTGACGATTTGACTTTGCCTCCTGTTGCAGGACAAAAACCCATGTTGACATTTTATTATGTTTCTTAGTGTGATAACACCTAGGTGCTCTCCTCATGGAGCAGGACTCCAGTGTGCTAGGTGCTGTATAAAAACCAAATGGAGAACTGATCCCTGCCCTAAGCAATTACACTTGAAGTGGGATGGAAATTCAATGTTCTGAATAGCTCTCATTCGACACTGGCACAGCATGTCCAGCCACAGCTTGCACTGCTCTTGCTGTGACATTGCAAGTCTCCTGAGACATGCCCTGAGTCAGCAACATCCTCTGCATCTCCTAGAGCCTCTTGTGCTGTCCATTGTAAGCTCTTTAAGCATCTTCGCCTTCTGTTTCTTGTACACAT